ATATATATATATGAACTGATTTTATTGAATTACTTGCTTTGATCTGTAGTTTATTAGTACTAAATTTTTCCGTGTGCTTCTCCTGCTGTTTCAGATTCTGCGGAGGTAAATTTCTGTAATCTGATTCAGATAATGTAATTGCAGATTATTTTTGTCTCTGGATATTGCTTCCATTCTGTTTCTAGAAAAATGAGATGTTTTTTCCTTTGCTGAACTTGATTTTCTAGCTGTAAAGCAGTTGTTCGGCAGTAAAAAAAATTAAAAAAAAGGAAAAAAAAAAAGTTTTGAAAGCGTGTTTCAGTATTTGTTTGATAGAAAATTAATAATAATTTGTGATTATTTTAAAATTTTGTCTTAATGATTCGGTGTATTTGCTCTTTAAAGCAAGAAGAGATGGATTCAATGGTTACAGAACTCTCAGCCAATGAAACTAGCTTATTACCATAGAAGGGCAGAAATCAAAATCTGCTAGAAATGCTGTAACTTAAAAGATAAATTTGTAGAAAACTTCCAGTAGTTTGATCTTTAAGGATAACAAATTTTAAAACTTTGTCAAAAATATCATTAATAAACCCTAAATCCTAAATATATGTTGGGGTATCTTGAAACCTAGCGCATGTTTTTGTGTTGTTGAAACCCTGGCAGACATACTATGGTGTTTTAAAACCCTAATATTATTGTTAATGTTCATTATTAAAACCTTTATGTTGCCCTTAGAATGTGCCATGATACCTTTTCATAAGAAGAACAAGGTTTAATAATTAATTATTTTTGTGTTCCGATTTCAAGAAATGAACTTCTTATTAAACTTTGTATGAAACCCCCTATCACAAACAGAATTAGTTATAGAACCTCACCTTATCTAACTTTGTGAAAATGATAGAAGTTTTTAGTGATTACCTTTGTATGGAACCCTCAGGACCCTCTGATAAATATACTTTGCTAGTTCTGATAGAGCTTGAAAGCTAAGATTTTATCAGAGTTAGAGTTGAGCTCAGCCATAAGCACTCACTAATAATCAAACTGGCAAATGATGTTGAGATGCATCCTATATCTGAAATAAATTTAACATTTTCGCAATCTCATTTCTTAAAAGCTTCCAACATGATGAATACAAATGCGCACAGGAAATCACTTTCAAGTTCTCAGAAAAATATGTTCGAAGGAGCATGCATCCTTCATACTGAAGAAAGGGAAATAAGGAATTTTGTCATTATGAATGTTAGATATAAACTTGCCACAAATTAATGAATATAATAGGTGCTGTTATAGTTTTTTTTGTTTTTTTTAATTGAGCCTTAATAGTAGGACTAAAATTGCTGTTATATTTTGAAATTATCCTAGGTAACGGTAAATCGTCATAGAATCTGAGTAACTTGAGGATCTCTTCGCTTTGAGTGTCTTGATAAGCTCTGTTGCAGCAATGAACTTGGCAAGTTCAACTTCAGCTTGACAAGAGCCTTCTTCAACTTTCTATAAAGCTTTGCGAGATATTGTTCCTTGCAGCTCTACTTAATGGTTCAAAGTTTTCACCTGCAAGCAATCCATGCAGCAATTATGTTCAATCACAATCATGGGAACAAATAGATGAAATAAGATGGAGATAGCTTAGTTTCTGAAGTAATAATATACATTATGCTTATCTGTCTTTTCAGCTTTTAAGACTTCCCTGTCCAAATCTAGAAAAATCTAGAGCCGCAGATTTTGAAGGTCTAGATTTTCATGTGCATGGAATTATAGATCTAGAACTTTCTAGTACAGGTGGTAGCTTGAGTTCTTATCAATAATGAACCAAAACATTAAATGTATATATTTCTCTATTTGATTTAACTAATACCCCATGAGATACAAAACACGTAGCTTGAGTTCTTATCAATAATGAACCAAAACATCAAGTGTATATATTTCTCTATTTGATTTAACTAATACTGAAATCCACATGCCCCATGCGATACAAAACATCTGCAGTCCTTCAAAAGGGCCAGAAATCCTCTTAGGCATCCTGTGGTTGGCATCACTGCCATGGCCAAGAACTGCAATGTTATGGTTGGCATCACTTCCATGGCCAAGTAAATAAGTTATCTATAGTGGTTATGCAACAAAATCAACATTGCTTGGAGCTAATGATTCAATCAGTGTAGGAATTGTTAGATATGGATAGCATGCATACCTCTACATACTGAGAACAAGAATACTAAACTGTGTAGTCCAATACTTTATACCTAGCTTTTTGTCATATATCATCCGAAACTAATAATTTCTCCAAATAGCAAGGTTGACTTTAGTCAGTGTTAAATTCATGTCCAAGCTCATCACCAAGTTCTCCATCCCATGTAAATACCTATCCTTGTAATCTGATGAACTTCTGAAAGTCTAAAGTTTTTGGAAGCATGATATCTGCTTATAAGGAAATTAAAGGTGCATCACATGTAATAGCTCTTATTGCCATTCAATTATTATTATTGTTACTTTCTTATAAATATTCATAATAATCACGTGCACCATACCATCGCTAAGGCGCGTATATATTGCTAGGCCCTCAATTTTGAACCCCTTTGATTATGTTTCTCACTGATATGTTTCCTTTTTAGTAGCTCTAAGCTGTTCAAACTTATCAAACACAAGTGTCACTTGATTCCAATCATTATTCACTAATCGTTATCATTTTAAATCCATCAAAATTACATTCCACTTACTGAATTTTTTTTTTCTATAAGAAAAGTGTCAAATTAGTCTCCTAATTTTTTGTTCTAGAGTCTATGAAAGTGTCACTCTTTTAATAAGTGCTAAAATGGCCATAGTAAAAGAAAATAGTGATTAATTTAATTGTTATGGACTATTGCCCCATATAAATAATCAATGGACTTATTTTGACACTTTACTCTTTACTCTTTATATTGCTAATGACAAGCTTTCATTTAAATTTAAAATATTTCAAATATAATATATTTAAGTGTGCTTCATAGTTAGCACCCTAAATAAATTGATATTTACAAATCTAGCATCCTCTTTTATCCATTTTTTAAATTTCACCCTAATATCAGAATTCATGATAAAACCCCAACCCATATTTTTCATTTTTTTATTAATTTTTTAATGGCTTTTCATTAGTTGCAAGAGGTTATAGCAATATTTGAATTTGAATAATTGATAAAAATGCCATTCAAGTATATTTTTGTATGTAATAATATTTGTGGTTATTTTAATATTTTGTGTAAATAGCCATGTTTAGGGTGGTACTGTTATAAATAGCATATTTCGGGTACTCATGTAAATAGATCTATTACAGGGCTGGAGATATTTCACCACGATTAGAAAAAGGAGAAACTGATGAATTATCTTTTTTACAGAAGTATTAAGGAACAGCCGACACAATCGCAGAATGCTGGTTCAGATTTCTTTGGCATGACATGAAAAGTTAGAAGGGGCAATTTACATACAAAACATCCGACACTTTCTATTTACAAATCATTCATCCTCTTTCGTCTATTTTTCTAATTCTCAATTGGGGCAGACACTTGTAAAAACTTTGGTCTGGTAATTAAAAAAAAATCAAATAGATGGTTAATTTATAAATCTTAATATTTCAGATGATATGTATGTAATTATTCAAAAAAAAGCTAATTTTATTTATCCCGACATTGGCCTTTAAAATTTACAAATTTGCCAACGCAAACTAATTATAATAATAATAAAAAGAAAGATTGAATGAAAAAATTAAGAGTGACTGGCAATAAAAATCGGAATATGGTTCTGAACATCAGGAGCATCTGCACAAATCTAGGGTTTAAACCCATATGCACGAATTTCGAAGAATTCGACGGATAAAAGAATAAATGAATACTATTAAGAAGAGCCTACAATCGAAAGATCAAAGGGCCATAGGCGGAAAATCATGGGTTTACAGATGGAAGAACAAGGATCCACTAGCGGAAGATTAGGGTTTACTAGCGAATGATTAAGGGTTCATTAGCGGAAAATTAAAGGTTTACTAGCGGAAGATCGAAGGTCCGCTAGTGCAACCCCCCTAAACGAGGGCTAGAGGGCGATCAAATGCAGATCCTCCTAATCAAAATTCAAGGCTAATCGATTTGAGCCGAGGCATTGACCTGTCTCTTGTCATAATCCAACTCAAGAGAAGAATTTAATAACGCCAACCATCTCATGGACTCCCTTGAGATTTCTCATCTTGGGCCAAGAACTAAACATAAGATAATCACATTGTACATCTCGAAAAATCATCTCGTCAAGGAGTGAGCTACCTATCAGATTACGATTATTCATTCTCTATCTGATAGCCTAGCCTTGACTTGACGACAGGAGTTTCTTACTCAGGGATCAATATTTAACAACTAGGCTAGAATAGCCGACCGACTAAGCCAAGTTAATCAAGTCAAGTTCTACCAGCCCAAACACCATGAAGGGTCGACCGACAAACTCGACTCAACACAGTCGAACGAACTGGTCTCGTTGAATCAAGGATCATTGACTTTAGCAGACCGAGTCATAGGGTAATTGAACCGAAGGCCTTTACATGTAAAATACCTAAAATTTCCTATAGTGCCCCTATTAAAACATATGAAGATAGGTAATTTCATATATTGTACCACTCTTCTCGAGAAATAAGGGATTATTTCATGAGAAATGACTAATCAACAATTTATATTAATATTTATTTTTATGTATCTCTCTCTCTCTCTCTCTCTCTCTCTCTCTCTCTCTCTCTCTCTCTCTCTCTCTCTCTCTCTCTCTATCCTTTTGGTGTGATACACAAAGAGATTATAATTCAACATTTTAAAAGATGTGATGTGTATGGATCATGTCACAAAAAAAAAAAAAGTAGCACGGAGAGAAGAAAATCCCAATAGAGACATTGCTAATAATTGGGTTAGCATTTCAATTATATTATTTTCTTTCCTTTTTCAAGTTCGATTGCACATTTTACATGATCGGCTCAAATTAATTTTACAATTTTATTATCCAAATATCTAAATAAATAATAGCACAATCTAATGCAAGAAAAATTATTATGTGCGCACAGTCGCAAAACCATCTGGATGGGTCATCGTGAGATCCATGGCTGCATGGCTGCATCCCGAAATTCTCACTCAAAACTCAAATATCAATGATATGAGAAACATTTGCGTGCGTCTAACGCACGCAGAGCTGCGTACGTCGGTAGATTATAGAGAAGGTATTGAGGGTTATATCCGCGTTATATCTCCTATAACTAATAAGTTTTGCGTTTTTTATTTTCATATATTTGTAAGTTACATGTAGGTTAGAGAAAAGTTACAGAGGTATAACATAGATATAACTCTCCAATACTCTCTCTGTAACCTACCGACGTGCGTAGCTCTGCGTATGTCTAACGTACGTAAATATTTCTCCCAAAATTCATGGTAAAATCCCAACCCATATTTTCCATTTCTATCAATCTCTCAAAAGTTTGATGGTGACACAAATAAACACATTAGTTTGGTCGTTTATAAAAAATCACCTCGAGTATTAATTTGTAAATATCAATATATTGGATTGTCTACAAGTAACTATCCATTTGTTGATGTAAAATGTGCTCTCATTCGTTTAGATGTTGTATGCTGAGGAGCCAACGATGGCCTTCGCTCCCTTCTCCCCTTCTCCAAAACCTCCACTCGCTCTTCCATTCAAAAGACAAAATCCTTTATCTCCTCTCTTCAACTTCCCGACCACCTCTCTTCCTGTAGCCGGATCCCTAACCGCCGGCCAACGACCACCACGGTCCCTTTTTCTGACGGCGGTATCACCATGGGGGATCAGAGTCTCCGGGGAGAACATGGATGCTGATCTTTACTGCTCAGGTGTGGTTAGGACTTGTTAAAGCTCACAAAGTGTTTGTTTGTATTCCTCACTAATTTGGGAGGTTTGATGTCATTGTCTTGATCAGAGTCGGAGTCAGCTGGATAAGGGGAGTTACTTCCCCCTCACTGCAGTGCAGCGATTTGATGCGGCGGTAAGCTTTTCGAACTTTATATGATGTGTTAATCGATCCGAACTCCATTTTATTTAATATTTTATTTTCATTGAAAATTCAAACAAAGTTTTCTCGGTTAGTTAGGTTATGTTCTATTGCTTAGTCTTCTCAATCTTCTTTGATTCTTTTTGTTTGACAAAAAAATTGTTTCAATACCTGAGAAACTTAAAATACGTTTGGATGAGTTTCATTTTTGTGGTTCATTTTTCTTAAATAAAAAAACAATTGAAAGACATTTTAAAAGAAAATGGAAGAAAATCATATATATATATATATATATATAACCATTCATACCTATCCTGCAGTAGAACCAAAACCAAATTTACAAATGTCAAATTTATAATCATTTGTAAATTTATAATCATTTGTCAAATTTATAATCATTTATAAACGATAATTTGAAATTTATAATCATTCATACCTCTGATGCTGGTGAGACCGTCGTCAGAAAAAGGGGTCGTGGTGGTCGGCCAAATTTTGAGTTTTGTCTGTCATATGTTTCGGTGTAGAAGAGAGAATAAGAC